TCCAAATGACTTCATGACAGGACAATAAAATACGAAGATTGTTCTGCTTTTTCGTTTATGTGAGGATGACAAAGCAGTTTGAAACCTTTACGCTGCACAGAAAATCATGATAGGGCTGCTTGGCCACTGATGAATCATGAAATTCGTGGATTTCAGCTGCACATGAACTGCAGCACGAAGTCTACAAGAAACAAGTCCCCACATGAAGCAGAGCCGGCAGAGTTTTCCTTTATCCGACAGAGTGATTTTAAAGGGTTGCCTCTGGCCGTGTTTACGGGCAGCAGGCAGAGGGCTCTCTTTACTTTACCGCGGCTCTCCGTCTGCTCTGGGTAATGATTAAACCCTGTTCACACTGCAGCAGCACGGGGTCAACAGCTGACCCGTCACTACACCATTACCGGCTTGGAAACAAGTGAAAAAATACACTAAAATACTGTCTCTCCCTCTCTCTCTCTCTCTCTCTCTATATATATATATATATATATATATATATATATATATATATATCCTCTCCCTCTTTTCATTTCTCTTCCCTCCTTCTTTCTTGCTGTCTCTTTTTCTGTTTATGTTTCCTAGTCTCTCCTTCTCTCTATCTCCAAATGTCTCTCTGTCTTTCTCTGTCTTTCTCTCTCTCTCCCTCTCTTCTCTCCATCTCCCCATGTCTCTCTGCCTTTCTCTCTCTCACTGTCTCTCTCTCTCTCTGTTTCTCTCTCTCTTCTCTCCATCTCCCCATGTCTCTCTGCCTTTCTCTCTCTCTCTCCCTCTCTCTCTCTCTCTCTCTCTCCCTCTCTCTCTCTCACTGTCTCTCTCCCTCTCTCTCTCTCTCTCCCTCCCTTCTCTCCATCTCCCCATGTCTCTCTGCCTCTCTCTCTCTCTCTCTCTCTCTCTCTCCCTCTCTTCTCTCCATCTCCCCATGTCTCTCTCCCTCTCTCTCTCTCAATTCAATTCAATTCAAATAACTTTATTGGCATGAATTGTAGTGAACAATTGTTGCCAAAGCAATTAAAATATCCTAGTAGATATGAAGATGATGGTGAAGAAGGAAATAATGTATAAAAGAAAGACTAAAATAATAAAATATTCATATGTACATACACACATATACATACATCTCTCTCTCTCTCTCTCCCTCTCTCTCTCTCTCTCTCTCTCTCTCTTCTCTCCATCTCCCCATGTCTCTCTGCCTCTCTCTCTCTCTCTCTCTCTCTCTCCCCCCCTCTCTCTAATAGAACAACCACCCAGAGAATCTAGTTTAAAAGCTGAGCTAAGACAAACATACAAAACTCTAGAACCCAGTTAATCATTAAACTCCACTAAACTGACCTCAGGAACTCCAGAAACGCCATCGTGAATTCAGAACAGATCAGTTCAGTCCAGTTTTAGAGACTCTTACCATAGTTAAGCTTAGTCCGGTCCTTCTTCCTCCAGCAGCCTCTTCACTCCGTCCCCGCAGAGGTCAATATGACTGACCCTCTGTGGCGCTGAGAGTTAGTGAATTAGTGAGTTTCCCTGTTTTATTATACTCACTTTTTCAGCCAATAGCGCCGCTCCGTTTCTGACCAATCACGTTCGAGTTGAAGGCCAGAGGGCGCTGCTGCAGTGTGGGCGTGGTTTGCTTTCTGCTTGTTCCGACAAAAGCAGTACCCTTCGCTGGGATTGGCTGGCAGTGTCCCGCCTCCTGTGCCATGATTGGTTAGTAGTTTCTCGCCTCCTGCACTGTGATTGGCTCACATTGGGAACTAATTGGCAAAGCAAAATCGTTAAATGTAAATAAAGATTATGTATTTTTGTGTTATTATAATGTTAATAATAATATTGATAAATATCTATCTATCTATCTGTCTATCTATCTGTCTGTCTGTCTCTCTATCTCTCTCTATCTATCTGTCTGTCTGTCTGTCTGTCTGTCTATCTATCTATCTATCTATCTGTCCGTCCGTCTGTCTGTCTGTCCGTCTGTCTGTCTGTCTGTCTATCTGGTGCAACTAGTTGCAAAAGTGTCCATGTGGTTTTACTAAGACAGTCAGCAGCTCCACAGTGAGCATCAATCTACAGTATGAGATAAAGAGCCAAAGCAGAGGCGTCATTAAAGAGGAAGCTGCAGAAATTATTATGGATAAATGACCACATTATGTGGGATCACTGCAATATAACCATATAATGTCCAACCTTCAGTCACATACACTTCAGGACCGTGAAAAATCTGACCGTATTTCTGTTCAATTAGCATTTCAGAGTTAATTTCTCTAAATTGCCATGACTTAATGTAGCACACAGTTTGTGTATGATGTCCAGATTTATGTAGATTAATGCCAGATTTTGAGGCTGAAGTGCCACACTAAACGATATGTAAAAACTTCAAACATGTGCCTGATATATTTATTCTCACACACACCACTGTGTCAGTGTCACTGCTGTGCTGAGAATGGCCCACTTGGTCCAGCTTACGTACCTTACACACACAAACTCTGTTTTCCAGTCTTATCATTTCAGACAAATTTGTATTAGTGTTATTATTTGGGGTTTGAATTTGAAATGGAAATTCATGTACAATACTGATGGTTCCAGCTGGTTGTACCACATTGGAAATCCAAGTGATTTCAGTAACACTGTAACACTGATGGTCCCAACATTTACCTTGAAACTGAACAGTTCAGCTGAATCAGCTTCAGACCAGTCAGCCATTTACATTGACCATAACCACAAACCAGTAACAACTATTTTAACCTTGTGAACTCTGAACAACTCACCCCAAAGGTTTCATGGAGCTCCATCACTCCACAGTTCAACAGCTCCACAGCCCAATGCTGGGGGGCTTTGCACACCTCTAGCCCACGCTTGGTATTTGGCATGGTGACTTTAGGCTCAGGTCTGGCGACTCCAGAGCGTCTCATTCTATTAGCAATGCTTTTCTATGGAGATTATACAAGCTGTGTGTCAGCAATAGTTGCACCATAATGAATTCAGTATTTTGAATGGGTGTCTGGATACTTTTGAACATACAATACACTTTCAGCCAAAGTATAAACTGAATTCTGATATATGGATATTACAGCCTATTTATTACAGCCTATTATTATTCAATTAGGTCATTAAGACAATTGTCACTGTATTGCCATTCAGTTCAGCCATTAAAACAATGGCAACAAGGTTTAAACGAATGAATGGACTGTAAAACGCTCCTGTTAGCAGGACCATGTGAACAATGCCTAATGGTGGCCTTTGTTTGACCCTGACGGGACATCAGTGAGAGGTTAAGTGTTTGATAATGACCCTCACTACAGCCTTTCCCTTCACATCACTGGGATCTCCTCTTTCCTCGCTGTTTCTGAGTGTGCAGTGACATCTGCTGGATAGATCTGACTCTGAGTGAAAATAATGGGGACAATAATAATGATGTATCTGGATATACAGTTAAAACTGCATGTATATTACCAGTTTTATAACTCCACATGATTTATAATGTCCTGTGTTACTCCTTTGCTACGTTTCACTGCTATACTAGTCAACTTGCAACAATAAATTATGGAATAACCGAACACTGAACTACATCCGTCTGACAGGATGAACATTTATTTACCAAAATAAATAATTTGCCCTGAGAAAAGAATTTCTTATTTATCAAAGAATGTGTAAATAGCTCTCCGTCTCCATCGGAACAGACTGACCTGTTTACTGAGACTAGAGCTTGAGAACTACCCCAGACTAACATGCATTCCATGCTGGTCTAAGCTGATTTAAGCTGGTTTAGCTGGTCACCCAACATGGTCATGCTGGTTGACCAGCGTACCAGCATCCAAAACATGCTGGTTTTGCTGGTGATCAGCCATGCTGGTCTATGCTGGTTTTTCTAGCAGGGTAATGATGTCATGTTTCTCTGGAAATGTATTTTCATATATTTTATTAATATTTGTATTATATTTATTTTATATGAAATCATGTTTGTCACATCACATTTACACACGTGCAGGTGAGTGAAAATCTTAGGTGTGTAGCCCCCTTGTAGGATTTAAACACAAATATGTATGTATGTGTGTGTGTGTATATATATATATATATATATATATATATATATATATATATATATATACACACAATATACAACAGTTGTACAGTACTTATTGAATGAAATAAAACGATCATATACACTGTTGTCCATATGTGTACGTTGTTGTGGTATCTTCTGCCCATCGAAAGTTTGGGGGCACAGAACTTCTTAGACCTTTGTGTCTTTTTAGGGGTGTTAAAGTCTTAAACAGCCCCCTGTAATTCACACTCTGTAGACAGTATTATAGTCAAAGGGGAACTCCACCCATTTTCCCAAAGTTCCAAATAATTAAATAGTGAAGGTGTAAACAAAGTCGTTCAGAGTGGTTTGGTGTGAAAGTGCTCCATTCTAGAGAAACTTGCAGAGTCAGCACTGTTCACACCAAACAGGAGTTAATACACAAAATGAATATGAATTCACTGCCTGACATCCGAGGCTCTGTTTGACAGCAGTTTTGTGACAACATTTTTGGTCAAAAATGTATTTTAATAATAGTTTTTGAATTAATTTATGGTGGAATGATATAAGAAGGCAAAATAGTCCCCAAATAGTCCCCAAAGAGGACACAGTGATCACTCAGAAGACGTGTGGGCTCACTGGTGTTTCTGGTTAGTAAACAATCTGGTCTATGTTTGCATTGTAGACCCAGGGCGTCTGGTTCCTATATAAAGAAATCTAAGTCGGTAAATTTGTGAAACCATTTCACATCAAACCAGTCTGAAAGACTTCGTTCACATCTCACGGGCTGAATTACACAGACGCTTTGAAAATTCGGTGAAATTCTCCTTCAACACTTTGGTGTGTTGTGCAGTAGCGCTGTAGGACGCTGTGTCCGTCAGCAGGTGGCGCTCTAGACTCACTTAGTTTAGATTAGTTAGAGCTGATTGATTCTGGCCAGTGGGCTGTCCACGCCGGGCTCAGCGGCATTATAAAGGCATTACCGATGGACAGAGAGACGGAGAGAGTGAACGGCTCCCGGAGCTCCGAGCACTGCGCTGCGCTGGGATCGGTGGGTTCGCCAAAGCGCCGCTGGAAGTGTGATCAGAGGGTCGTCGTAGGGAAGGTAAGAGGGCATTTAGACCACTGCTGTCTGTTCTGACCGTCTCTTTGAACGTGTTTGGACACTGAAGCGCTTAAATGACTCAGTGTGGTCGTTTCCTGCGGTGAGGACTGAGCGCCATGTGCTCCCGTACTAACGGCGCTCTGGGGTGGTCTTGATCTCGTGAGCGGCAGCCTAACTTGTGCCTACAAATGCGCGGCATTAAAGGGGAATTCCACTGATTTTTCAGAATTCCTGGTTGAGATATTAAGTCATTCAGACTTGGTTGAAGTGGTTGAGAAACTTACTGACTTAGATTTCTTACAGTGGTGGTGATGGGAACCAGACGTCCTGATGTCTACAATGTAAATATACCCATGAGTTTTAATATGTTTATATTCAGGTACAGCTGATGGTAAAATAGTGATAAGTCTGAAAAAGTTTTCCTACTGGACTATTTTGACTTACAGCACCCTTCTTGTATCTTTAACTGATTAAACTGAACTGGTTAAAATTCCTTTTAGACCGAAAAATGATCACCAAACCACTGTGAAGCAGTGTCTCAGACATCAGGCAGTGGATTCATAACCATTCCATGTAGGAACTTTCTGTGAGGGAGCTTTTAGAGGCGTTGAACTCTTCAGACGTCTGGTTCCTATCACCACCACTGTGAACAATTTTGACTCGGCAAGTTTCTTTGGAATGAAGCGTTTCACTCCAAACCACTGTGGATGATGTTGTTGACACGTTAACGATGTAATTATGCAGAAAATGTGGAAAATTAGTGGAGTTCCCCTTTAATTGATTCTGATTGGCATCATGGGGGGAATGCTGATGAAGTCTGTTTCCAATGAACGTGGCCACATCCGGGTTTGAGGGGCAAACAACAAACAGCTCATTGATGCAGTTCAGGATGCTGCGTTTAGTTCACTGGGAAAAGTGCTTGATTCAAATGTGTTCGTCTTCTCCACAGACAGAAAGTGTAGAAGATCAGCTCAGTTATTGCCGAACGTTGATGTAAAATATTTCATTCATATCAAATTTGTGTACATGTTTGAACCAAGTAAATCCTATTCATCACTTTCTGTGTTCTGTGGTTCCACCGTTGCCGTTAAGCGATAGCTGTGCTTTGTAACTTTGTGGACCTTCGCAGTTCAGGCTCTGTTTTCAGCGTGGATTTGTATGCATGGTGCATTTTGAAAGTTAAAGGCTAATTGAAGGACACAAAGAACAGTTTCTGGACAAAAGATGAAACTAGTCCAGTGGTGAGAAGAAAAGCTGAGAAGTCCACAGATTTTTCGAAATTAAGATGTTAGCCAGGCCATTCAGAGCGGTTTGCTGTGAAGTGCATACTGAGTCACATTTGTTCACACTGATTCACACATTCATAGGAACCAGATGTCTAATCAGTGGTTAACACCCCTGAGGGCCACACCACTGAGCGTTATTATGCAAAATGGTTATGGATACGTCACCCGATGTCATCGTTTTACAGCAGCCTTGAGATGAGATAGTATGGATTTCACATCTGTCCAGCAGGGTGTTGTAAGGCAAAATAGTTGCCAAATGCGAAAATGCATTTTCTCAGATTTACCACTATTTACCATAATCAACATTGCATATAATAACTCAGGAGACAACTGTAGGTTGATTTTGAATAGTAGACAAAGTGACTATATTATCTGACCCCTTCCTAAAAGCACCACTATAAAGAAACCAGAGTCGTTTCACATCAAACTATTTTGAATTACTTTGTTTACATCAACTGAACTATGCAGAAATTTTGAAAAATTGACAGAATTCCCCTTCGTATGGTACAGTGTAAGCCTAAATGTGGGCAATATGAACATAAACAGCACAATGAACTATTTAACAGCACGGTTTAAAAGTAAATAACTAAATAAATAATGTAATAATTAGAGTAATAACAACAAGTAGCAGAGTAACACTCAGTTTCAGCCTCTAATACTAGAGCGGTTCGTAACAGCACTGAGTTTATTAGAAGTATTTATGCTTACTGGTGTTATTTTTCACATGCTTTCCATATGCTAGGTGTAAACTACCTGATAAAACACCGATTTAGGAAGAAACAATGTAACAGTCCATTGTCTTTATGTTTGTTGTGGGGCAAATTGACCCTATCAGAGTTTTTAGAGTAATGGCCCTTTCACTGATGCTTGGTTGAACAACTGAAGCACATTTAGTCCCTTAGCAACACTGAACCTGAAGTAATTTTATATTTTCAGGCTTGCTAGAACACCATAAAACCTTTGCCCAGTTGTTCATGAAAAATAATGGTCTGGACGTCATCTGGCATGTCGGCTGTAACATACATTAGATGATTTAAGGCAACCTAATGAGTCAGAGCATCTGTTTTCCATAACCCATTCAAATACAGTCTGCTAATTAGATTCAGCAGTGTTGGAGCTCTGAATGTGTTAGTAGAGGCATTCTACAAAAGCAGGATCAGAATGCCCCACCCAGTACACCCCCTGGGCCTCAAAGCACTTGAGGTCAGAACAGAGTTCGGCTTGGTGTTCTCAGGCTTTACAGGATGCTCACGGCTGATTGGTCACATTATTGGGAAATCTAGAGGTCAGCTCTGCAGCTCAGATGATCTTATAATAATATGAACAATTTAACAGGCTGATTTTGTTACTGTGCCTTTAAGACTGATATATGTAAATGAGCTCTGTTCTGATTGGCTACCCTGTATAGCGCTTCATTCAAAAAGCAGTCCAGGCTGAAACACTCCTTATAACTGAATGGGCAGATGTGAATCCATGACATCACAAAAATAAGGAATTTAAAATGGACAGATTTTGCGATGGAGTGAATTATACATTAACAATGTTCTAACAGTGTTTACATTCTACACAGTACTGATGCCAGGACTGCCTTTTTAGGTGGGCACAGCAAATCTGCAGGTAGGCTGAATCTTTAGCTTTACTCTCATGGATAAGTTGGCTACACATGTATTTAATGCTGTATTGTGAGCTCTGATACTTTCATGCTTCAAACAAGTGCATTCATACACCACCAGTTATTAAATCCATGTAACGGTCCTCCCAACATCAAAGTCATACTTCTCATATCTGCATGATGAGCTTTTGGTTAAACTCAGATTTTGAATAGTCAAAAATGTCAGAAAGTCAAAAACAGGATTTTAAATATGAAAAATGTGTTGAATTTCATTTTTAAACACACTGTATACACTTTTAAGAACTTTCTTTATTTTCATGATGTATTGTGTTGGGAGTGGGCTTTACACGTATAAGAAAAGATTTATTATTATCAGTATTACTATTATTAGAGATTTAGAAATGAAACCTTTATCACTGCTGTCAGAAGAAAACCTCGTATCTCCAAAATGGTAACTTCACAGGTAACTTTTAATGTAAGTCAATGGAACCAGAATTTTTTCCAAGTCATTTTGGGTCGTTTCTTTTAGTCCGTTCATCATGAAATTTATAAACAATGTAAAGAACAACAGACAATTTTAAATTATGTCAAAAACTGAAAAACGTCAACAATGGAGATGCAGGGTTTACTTCCGATGTGTATTTATACAGATATAGTTCATTTTCATTGGTGTGTCTGGTGTTTTTATTCTTTCATAAGACGTATGAACGTAAGATGTTAGTCATTTTGGGTGGGCTGCTTACAAAAGTGGGTGGGCCTAGACACACCATGCTCATCATACAGCCTCCACTGCTACAAGATATGAGTCCTTTAACAAAGGTCAGGTTTAGGTCAGGTTTAGTGAGTGTTAGGTTTAGGTGGATGTGATAGATGTTTATTTGAAAGTTATCTAATAACAGCTAAATCATCTTCAAAGTATCGTAGACCATCAAATTAACCTCTTGTTGACCAGAGTATATTTTGGTTTGTCCATCTGAATTTCCATGACCTAATCTAAGGCAAATTATTCAGTAACTGCATGAAATAAATGTACATTTTTATTTATTTATTTATTTATTTTGTAAAAGCTCCCTCAAATTAACAGAACATGTGTTTTATGATACACATATTGCTATATGCTTACAATTTACTGCTGAAAGCCAAAAATCTTAGACGCTCTTTGTATTATTTTATAAAAATAATGTTTACAGAGCAGATCACTGAAGAGACGCCATCTGTTTATAGTTTATAGCCCAGATTTGTGGAAAAATGGGTCGACTTTCAGTAGAGAAAAAACTGTGAGTTCAGCTTCTTTTATTATAAGGGTTTAAAATGACATCACCCATCTATTTGACTGGAAAGAAGACAGTTACAGCTCTCATACGACCCCCACCTTTAGAATGTAGCTTATGAAATATGAAAGTTATGAAGAATATGACGAGGTGCGTTTTGGAACACAGTTGGAGCTGAAGAGGTTAAAGTGTTACTCATTTTTCTTAATGCTTATAAGAGACTTAACAAGGCCTTCATTTCTCTACCTGTGTAGGTAACGCTACTCAGCTAATAGCTACTCTTTGCTTTGCAAGTCATTGTTACGAGAGCTCATTAGCATTACATTGAGGTGTTATACCTTAGTACTGCACGTTGTATTACACCATTACTTCACGGTTGTGTGGACAGACTTATGAAACAGTCTGACACGAGCTGGATGAGTCACTGCTGCCTAGCCGTGCTACAGTAAGTGAGACATGACAGAAAGACTCGCTTTAAATGCAGTGTGTCCTGCAAGGTCTACTTTTCTGCCATTATAACAAAAGACGGGCTCTTGATGTAGCAGCAAATAACAACAATTTACAGGGCTTTGCCTCACGGCTTTAAGTGCTTTCCAGACATAATACTTATTGGCGTCCTGTTTATGGATTATGTGCCTGCCTGATTGGTATGCTGCACTGCTAATGTAGTTTAGGATGTAACTGTAATATTGTGCTTGCGATGCTTTGAACTGTGCTGGTTTTGATGTTCACACAGGCTGCTTTGATGCACATTTCCTGCTTCTTTGAATCGACGTCCCATTTCTAAATGTTTGCCTGTTCATTGTTGTAAGAGTGTTATCTCAGTCCTGC